AGAGACACAAACATTCCGTCTATGGTTCCCACCCTAACTCTACGCTGTCTGGACATTTTTTATCTGCCCTTCAAGGAAACATATCCTTCAGCTTCTTACACTTCCTTTATATTCATTGTCTAAATCAAATTCTCTGATTGCCTATATAACACAATTTTATAAGTTATTATTTATACTAGAGGCCTGATGCATGAAATTCGTGCAAGAGTAGGCCTTCCTCCCCCAACTGCTGGTACCAGCTTCCCTCCGGTCACTGGCAGGCACCCAGGACCGGGGCTTCTCTCACAGCCCTGGCATCGTCTGGAACAGTGGTTCTCAACCTGTGGGTCGCAACCCCTTTGGAGGTAGAATGACCCTTTCACAGGGGTCGCCTAAGACCATCCTGCATATCAGATATTTACATTACAATTCATAACAGTAGCAACATTACAGTTATGAAGTAGCAACGAAAATAATTTTATGGTTGGGTCACAACATGAGGAACTGTATTTAAAGGGCCAGAAGGTTGAGAACCACTGGTCTGGAAGGTCATCCAGAAGGATGTCCAGAAGGACGTCTGGTCTAATTAGCATATTACAATTTTATTATTATAGATAATACTTAATACAGATGTGACATGTTTTGTTCTTTTTCTTCTCTATGGCTTTATGTTATATTGCCTTATGGAGAAGTACTATGTTCAAATCTGTATTTATTCAAATTCTAATCTAAGGTTGTAGGAGAAACTATAAAAGTTTGCTCACTGAATCTTTCATAATGCAAAGTCTGTTTTTCTGCAAAATCATCCACCAATACTGGCACTTGCTAATGCTTCTGTCTAGGGATTCTATAATATTACTGAATTACTCTTTCTTGGTAATGAACTTTTATTATTGGAACATTTAATGTAATGGAAATCAACCTTGCAAATAACCTCAGAGCCTGGATGCACCTCCCTCCAAAAACTGTATTCTGAATAAAGTTGTTACCAACATTTAGAGTCATTCCCCAGACCATTAGTGATACTGTTGTTACCTTACCCCAACACAATAGGCTTTCCATTTTTGTTTATGGAAATTCAATTAAGGCTTCTCAAGGTTTTGTTGTTGTTGTTTTTTAAATAAAAGTCTAATAAAATATCAGTGACCCTCTTTAGATCTGTATTCTCAATCTGTTGGTAAAGCTAACACTAGTATTTTTAGATTGACATAATTTTATCAATATTTGGTCATTACTTCCTATAAATTGTGAGATTTTATTTTCTGCATAACATTTAAGATGTTTTCATGAGTCTTTTTTATATTTTATTTTTCAATTATAGTTTACATTCAATATTATTTTGTATTGGTTTCAGATGTATAGCATAGTGGTTAGACAATCATATACTTTACAAAGTGGTCCCTCTGATATTTGCAGTTCCCACCTGGCACCATACATAGTAATTACAATATTATCGGTTATATCCTCTACACTATAACTTTCATTCCTGTAACTATTTTGTAACTACCAATTTTTACTTCTTAATCCCTTCACCATTTTTACCCAGCCACCCAACCCCTCTTCCTTCTGGCAACATCAGACTGTTCTCTGTATCTATGAGTCTGTTTCTATTTTGTTTGTTCGTTTATTTTGTTCTTTAGTTTCCACATATAAGTGAAATCATATGTTACTTTTCTTCCTCTGTCTGACTTATTTCACATAGTGTAACTCTAGGTCCCTCTGTCTGTCATGAGTCTGTAAGAACAACTTTAGGCCTTAAAAGTTAATTTACAATAGATTTTCCTTATTTAAGAAAATGATCTCCATCTAGTGGACAAAATGTTATATTACAGCCTGCAAAGAAAAGTAGCAAAGCCCCTAAAATATCCCATATTAAGCATTTTGTAATCTATTAATATTTTTTCTCTTAATAGGTAATGTCAATTGTTTTAAGATATTTATCAGTATTTTTCTAAATCTTATAGTAGAGAGTCTCTGTTAGTTAAGACTTGCTTAATGTCATTAGAAAAATATAATAATAAAAAACACAAATTGCTGATTTGGGGGTTATATTGATATTTACTCAATTGAACGAAGAAAATTAAACTAAAAATTGCACTCCTCTATTTCCTAGATTTTTGATAATGCATAGCAAGTAGGGGATACTCACTTTTATTTTTAATGGAAGAACAGACAAGATTGTGTGTGTTCAGGATGGTATGGCTATAGACAATGCAATATATAGATAAGGTACTATATAATAGTTCGCTTGAAGCCTATATAATTTTATTAACCAACTAGAGGCCCGGTGCACAAATTCGTGCACAGATGGGGTCCCTCGGCCTGCAATCGGAGCCGATCGGGCCCGGCCAGGGCTAGGGATCGCAGGAGGTTGGCTGGCTGGCTGCAGGAGGTTGGCTGTGGGAGCACACTAACCACCAGGGGTCAGCTCCTGTGTTGAGCATCTGCCCCCTGGTGGTCAGTGTGCATCATAGCTACCAGCCAGCCATCCGGTTGTCCAGTCGTAATGGTCGCTTAGGCTTTTATATATATAGATGTCACCTCAATAAATATAATAAAATTTACAATAAATAAAGCACTAAGAATATCTTCATTTTCAAGAGAAATAAAAATAACTCCTTTTTATGTGGTCACGTGATTAAGTCATCCTCACACTGAAGAGCTTCCATGACTACCGTCTTAAAACAGAAATCTCCTCCTACCCTCCTCCTATTCAGAGGTCTTGCATGTCTTTCAGATGTGTACTCAATGCCTTCAAAAGCACTCTTTAGATAAAATACTTTTCTTTTATAAGACTTTTCAGATATCCCAGCCTGGATTAATCTTATCTTCTTCAGTTTTTGTATCTTGGTGTGCTCATATTAGGTGCTTAGTAAATGCTTATTTAATTAATCATATCCATAAAGAGCTTTTCAGGGACCCCCCCAATCCGTCTCTTTAATGATTAGAGGTCTCTTTCCCCTGTGGCCTTCCCCAGGATTGCCAAAATTCCCACATACATGAAGTGGCACCTTTCTAGGTGAAACAAATGTTCCAAAGTTTGGGTGTCACAGTTACTAGCACACATTTGTGGTTTACATAATATACATTAGAACTGGAAGAGCTTCTGAAACAATAGATGATTGAATTCAGTTAGTTTAGTAACTTTGGTCAGTTAACTAACTTTCCTAAGAGCTAGTATTCTTTTCTATAAAATGAGTCTATTAATCTCTCATTGTCCTTAAAGGACCAAAGCAATGCATTTATAAAGTGACACAATTCTAAGAAAATGTTAAGTTGGAAGACATGTCTGTGACTGGTAAAGCTACATTATGAGTTTTTCCTATTTTTTTTTTAAATAGGTGGATTGATTTAGAGTCAATATTCTTGTTTAATCATAGATTCATAGGTGATCCATGTAACATTCAACTCCTAGCTTTTTCTTGCACTTTGGCTTCTAATATTAGTGTTATAACACTCTTTATTCATAATTCCAATGGATAAAATAAAATAATGTTTTGAAATTAGCTGGTTAATAGTCTGGATAAAGGTTCTACTGAGAAAAACGTTAGTAACAACTAAACTTGAATTCATTTATTTATTTATCCACTCAACAATCTTTAACCACATACCTGAGCTATCACCCTCCTCTTGGTAGAACACATGCGAGGTGTCTTTATTTTAATACTGGTTGACGTTTGACTAGAAAGCTCTTTGTGGAACGTTTATCTAGATGTCAAAAACTGTGCGTGTGTGGTTCTTTTTTCCCTCAACTCTAAAATCTGTATTGCCAAGCACAGTGCCTTTCATTCATTCAAGCATTTGTTCAAACCGCTTAGTAATGGTTTCTGAAGTGCTAAGAACACTCAGAGCCTCCATTTTCAGAAAGCTCACAGTCTAGGAATGGAGACCAAGTAGTAAGACCTTCTATTCCTGGTTAATGCTACAGATAAGGAGTGGGAAAGTGTCTTGGGAGCAGAGAGAAGGGCATCTCATGCCTTTCAAGCAAAGACTAAATCCTCAGGGATGGATACAATTAGACAGGTCACTGAAGCTTTGGCAGTGATTGCCTGACATGGTGGTTCAATATGAGCGGAGTTGCAATGTTGAGGCTGGGGAAATGGTCAACTATAATTGAAGATGAATTAATAGGACTCTTTCTCTCTAGCCAAGAAATTTGGGCTTTATCCTGAGGACAACAATGAGCTACTGAGAGGTTTTAAATTGATAAATGACATAGATTTATCATTTAAGAAGAATCACTCTTAGTCCAGGGTAGAAAATGGATGCAAGAGACTAATTTAAAGGCTATTATAATAATGTAGGTGAGAGTTGATGGAACCCTGGACTCAATGTATTGGCAGTGAATGGAGGGAAGTGGCTACAATAGAAATTGATGATTGGATAAGTATAGGCAGAAAGGGAGAAAAGCCAGCCCAGGTTTAGGGAAGCAATGATATTGGATATATAAGAAGTACTTGTTGAATTGAACCCAAATATTTAGTCAATGACTATGTATTTGTTCTTTTCCTGAAAGGAATTCTGTACTTAGGAGAATTATTCTTTTCAGAATGATTCCTTTTAACTGAAGTTGAGTTAAGGAATCTTTTTTTTTTTTGCCAAGGGCCATTTGAATATTTGTAACATTCGAGGGCCTACAAAATTATCAGCTTAAAAATTAGCCTGCTATATTTGGTCAAATATTTAATTAACTCACCACTAATATCTTGGCAGGGCCAGAGCAAATGATTTCACGGGCCTTATATAGCCCACCGGCCGGATGTTCCCCATCCTTGGTAGAGAGACCTATGTCTTGTATCGAGTTGGTTAACAAAAGTATCAAGCATCCCAAAGCTTAGGAAGACAAGAGTATGAGGTCAATGTGTTCCTTTACTTTTGTGTATTGTAGTATTATTGTTTTTTAACACCAGGAATCAGCTATAAATTTTCCTACTGTCAATTCCTAAACTGAAATCTCCCTTTACTAAAATGTCAACATGCAAGTATTCACTTCAATGCCATTTCTTCTCCTTCCTTTACAGTTTTGATGTGGACAATGGCACATCTGCGGGACGGAGTCCCTTGGATCCCATGACCAGCCCAGGATCTGGGCTAATTCTCCAAGCAAACTTTGTCCACAGTCAACGTCGCGAGTCGTTTCTGTATCGATCCGACAGCGATTATGACCTCTCTCCAAAGTCTATGTCCCGGAACTCCTCCATCGCCAGTGATATGTAAGTACAAGAGTGGGCAAAGAGAAGAGGGAGCTTCTATAGGAAACCAAGTTAATCTATCTCTAGAGTTGATGATGTCATAAAACCAATGATATTCGTTTGCCGTATCATTCTAGAATTTAGAAAGAATGATGAGGGAAATCATGCAATCTGAAGATAAATGGTAGATTTAACTTGAGGACACTGTCACTCTTGAAAAGAAACATTTATTTTCCCATAGATACATTGTCTGGGGAAAGTGAGAGTTAAATTTTTAATGGAAACATTTACACTTAAAAATCTCTATATATAAAAGTCTAAGTCAGGGGTGGGAAAACTTTTTGACTCGAGGGCCACAATGGGTTCTTAAACTGAACTCAGAAGAAGGAGCTGTGGCCGTGTTTCCCGACGTTGCCATGTTAACACTGCTGCTGGTGAAGGAGCGGAGGGGAGAGCAAGAGAACCTTCCGCTCTTTCGGCTCCGCAGGCCGGATAGAACAGCCAAACGGGCCAGATCTGTCCCGCGGGCCATAGTTTGCCCACAGCTGGTCTAAGTGAACATTCAACTGTTCGACCAGTAGCTATGATGTGCACTGACCACCAGGAGGCAGACACTCAATGTGCAAGGCATGGAAACATGGAACAGACTGATGGATCTCAGAGGGACTGGGGGAGGGGAAGGGGGAGGAAGAGATTAACCAAAGATCTTATATGCAGACTAGAGGCCTGGTGCACAGGTTTGTGCACTGGTGGGGTCCCTCAGCTTGGCCTGTGGGGATTGGCCTGAAACTGGCAGTCTGACATCCCCCGAGGGGTCCCAGATTGTGAGAGGGCACAGGCCAGCCCGAGGGGCCCCACTGGTGCACGAATCTGTGCACTGGGCCTCTAGTTAGCTTATATTCACATTGGTCCTGAGTTTTAGCTACCCAGTCACATGCATATTTTCTAGAATTTCGAAAAACTTTAAGCTCAGTTTGAAAACCCCTGTGATATTACAGTGCACAGCATTTTGAATATGTCTCAGTTGATGTGCCATACAGATGTTAGCGCTGGTTTGCCAGATCATTCGAGAGGTCTTTGTGGGGGTTGCTTAAATTAAACGATTTCTGGAATATGAATTGCTAGAGGCCAGCACAGAAAATATTAGACAGACTTACATATCACTTAAATGATGGTACAGCTTAGAAAATAATTAAGACTGATAAGCAGGTTTGCAGATCATACACTATTATTAGCTCATTTTCTCAGCACAATCCAATCCTGTGTTTATTGTCATGTTCTGCAGCTTTCTAAGTTGTGGAGACTTCTAAATAGAACCTTCCTCTCACTCAGTATTTGCACTGTCATCTGTGGCAGTTCTTCCCTCTGTATGTAGTCATCCCCACTTCCCTCATCTGCATCTAGATATTTATCTAACAACATTGCCATTTTCTCATGACACCATCTCAGAAACTCAGGACAGGTGGCAATTCATCTTAACATATATGAGGCCTCTGAGGGTCTAGGGTTAGTCTTGGCATCCTAACAGATCACCTATTGGTCTGAATAGGGCTTTAGACGTGAAATTGTACTTTTCCTCATTTTCACAGCATATAGCTGTGGGTTGCCATTTTATTAACACTTGTAAAGTGATAATACAATTAATGCTCTAGCCTCCCTAGGAATGAGCAACTAAACTGCTACCAATTTTTATTCAAACACTGAATTACTAAACTTTTCTGTGTAGCTGTCCCTGGGTGAAGCATTGCAGGAAATATAATAAAATCATAAAACAATGTTCTTGATTTCAAACGATGCATAATCTGTGAAATAACAGATCTCAGATCAAATGGTTAGTGGAAAAGACAGTATGTGAGCCCTAATTTGTGTCCTTATGGACTACAGGGGAAAGCATCTCACTGTCCACTTTAATAATGTACAAGTCTATGCTATCTTTCAAAAGATATGCATTTTTCCTTTTTTTTGCATTTAAAATTCTTCAGTAAGTTATATCTCCCCAAAGATCTACATCTGTCCTCTACATTTCTTTACCATGTTGTGTTGCCTTAATATTCTGAAATCTATCTCCCATTCATATTGACCCCTGAAAATCCATTCATTCAAGACTTGAAATAAATACATTCCACTTCCATAAAGTGGAAGGCATGTTGCCAGTTATTAGACGAAGTGCATAGTGGTTTTCATCTCCCAGCTTTTATCATTGTTGTGTTCTCTGTTCCCTCCTACTCACAGGTCTCTCCTTTACCAGCTCCTCTTATCACCCCTTAGCATACTGCATTTCCCCAAAGGATAGCCCCTCACCCTCTGTAGCACTTAAACGCTTTCTATAAATCTGCACTTTCTTATCCCACTGTGCCTCACAATCATTAATTAATACATGTTCATCATTCGTAAATGAGCTTCAGATCTGTAGCACTTAATTGCATCCTGGAAATTGACACTTTTTTGTACTCATTAATTAGTACATACAGGTCTACAGTTGTTCTTATGGAAAATAATACGATAATTAATAAATGATAATACAGGAATAAACTTGTGTATTCACAACTGTAAACCTATTTTTGCCCATTATTTATCATTAATTTCTTATATTAAGGTGTCCACTCTTCTTCATCCCAAAACAACTTCCTTTTTCCAATGGCTCTATTTCTCTGTTATTTTTATCCCACTTTCTTGGGTTTGAAGCTTAAGACATTTAGTCATTCACTTACACATAATTAACACACTTATGATGTTTATAACACCATCTATGAGGCATTTACTAAACTATGGAAGCAGAGAGGAGCAGGAGAGTTTGCCACCCAGGGAAAGCCAGGCTAAAGGAGCAACGTTTGCATAACATGAGGCACCAGAAATCATGGCTCAGTTAAGGAATGACAGTCTGGTTGGTGTGAGTAGGGAACTGTGACGGAAGAGAAAGACTATTTGAATACAGTGTATGGGACCTAAAAGCCACAATAGTTTGTAGCTGGATTTGACATGGTCAAATTCTTACTTTCATTGCATTCTGATTGATCTATTGTTGAATGATTACATATCAGAGTTACTGCAGGGAAGTGGATCATGTTGAAATTCACAGAAAAAAAAGGTTAAATAGGAAGGAGGCCCAGGTGCAGGGAGGGGTGCTGGGATGAAGAGGCTGGTCCAGATGCAAAGGGCTTACGGAACGGGGTGTGTGTGTGTGTGTGTGTGTGTGTGTGTGTGTGTGTGTGTGTGTGTTGGGGCACTGGCAGTGGGGAAGGAGAATGAAAGGAAATGCTCTTGATGATTTATATGTGTTGTTCTAGTTACACTTCCCTATTAAGAAAACCCCTTAGAAGTTTCAAATTCAAACAGTACCAGTGAAGGTTTGTGATTATCTCTTTGAATGAAATATTTTGGAAAGCCTTTAAATGCTCTTTAAATTGAAATATAACCATTTAATTTATTGAGAAAGTGAGAAGGAAAATATCACTTCCTAATAGACAGGATGTCATCACCTTATTGTTTATAAATAGGCACTCATTACATAGCTGAGGCACAAGGAGAAAGTAAGATGCATGATGGTTATAATGGTAGTCATAGGTCCATTACATGCATATGCCACCCTTCACTTCTCCAAGTAGCTTCACATCTGCTCTCTCATTTGGCACTTTTCACAGTCCCATGGATAGGGACACTCGTTATGTCATTTTACAGATGAGAGATCTAAGGTCCTGAGAGCTTAACCTTTTTCAAAACATACAACAAACACTTTGATAGTTTCTAGGAGAACATTATTTTGATGAGGCCACTTAAGCAAAGTGCTACGCACTATTGCAGGAAAACTGCTGAGAAACAGAAGTACCTGTTGGCCAAATATATTGACAAAATTCGTTAGTCGGCACTATGAACATTTGGTTTTCATTTATATTTTAAGAATAAAATAAGATAATAGCTCAGATTGGTCAGAGAAGTAATAAAGAAAATATGTGGCCAACTCTTGGAGATTATATATATGTGTGTATATACACACACACACACACACACACACACACACACACACACACACACACACATACAGGACAAGGCTAAACTCAGCATCTGAAAATCCTATATAGCAGAGGAGAAGTTCCCTTTAGCTTCTGCTCAGAAGATTTTCATATCATTTGCTAAATGTTTTCCCAACTGAGGGGTGTATTCATTGGCTGCATTTTTAATGAGTTTCATTTTCTTACACATTTAGCCATTATTGATAGCACCTAATTTATGCCAGTGTATTGTTTGAGACACTATAGATCCATGAAAACAAGATAAAAGTTTTGTTTGGATCATGCATTTCTGTCTTTTGTTTTTTAAAAAAATTATAGATAGAGAAGGAGGCTTACTCAGTCAATATAGAGATTTCTATATAAATCTCTATTTTCACTTACACATCATTCACTTTAAATATTTGCTTGTCAGTGTTAGATCCTTAGTGCATTGTTCTTAATGTCTTCTGTATTGTTTCTGAAGCTATATAAGAAAAATTAATCACACTGCTGGAACAATTATGTGATGTGTTTCTTGACACAAGATATGCTGGGGAGTATTAAATCCTCCTCACTACATCCCTGCAATATGAGACATAAAGATGTGCTTCACAGGTACGGCAAAAGAGAGCCTTCAAGAAAAACCAAGTCAGGAATAGCGAACATGGGGCTCTGAGGTCCTGGTCATGTGTGCTGAAGAGACATCCCCATGATCCCATCTGCTGATGGCCCTTTCTCTCAGGCGTTGTTCCCGCTTTCCTTAAGGGTCTTGAGACTTCAGAGTTTTTCTTAACTAGACTGAAAAACTCATTTGCTGTCCCTGACTACTGCAGGTATGTCTAAACATATGTAAGGCATTAGTTCCTACTTTCCTCTTATCAAACACAGACAAGTTAGAAGCAGAAAGAGAAAGAACAGCTTGCACCTCAGCACATGTGGGAGGCTGCACTGGGACCGGAAATCACTGACGCAGTTCAGTGAAGGACTTTGTCTCCTGGCAAATGTTATGAATGATCCCCAGACCATTGTGTC